CCGTAGGGTTAAAGCCGAGCACCAGAGACCGCATGGTAAGTTGCAGCCCTTGGAGATTCCTGAGTGGAAGTGGGAGCAGATTACTATGGATTTCATCACCAAATTGCCGAGAACTGCTAGGGGAGTCGATGCAATTTGGGTGATTGTGGATAGATTGACGAAGAGTGCACACTTCCTTGCCATTAGCGAGAGTTCATCAGCGGAGAAGTTGGCGGAGTTATACGTGAGAGAGGTAGTATCTCGGCATGGAGTGCCGATCTCGATTGTTTCAGACCGTGATGTACGCTTCACTTCCAGGTTCTGGAAGAAATTCCATGAGGAGCTGGGTACTAAACTGCATTTTAGTACCGCATACCATCCCCAGACAGACGGTCAGAGCGAGCGGACGATTCAGACATTGGAAGACATGCTTAGAGCGTGTGTGTAGACTTCGGGGTAGCTGGGATGCGCATTTACCCTTGGCTGAGTTTTCCTACAACAACAGCCATCATTCGAGCATTGGTATGCCACCTTTTGAGTTGTTGTATGGTAGGAGGTGTCGGACTCCCATTTGCTGGGAGAGGTGGGACAGAGAGTGATGGGCAGTACAGAGATCGTACTCCAGACGACAGAGCAGATTCAGCAGGTTAGGCAGAGGTTATTGACCGCCCAGAGCCGACAGAAGAGTTATGCGGACAGACGCCGGTCCGAGCTGGAATTCCAGGTTGGCGACTTCGTTCTCCTGAAGGTTTCTCCTTGGAAGGGAGTGATCCGGTTCAGAAAGAGGGGCAAGTTGGGGCCCCGGTTCATAGGTCCATTTCGTGTAATTGCAAGGGTAGGTCGGGTAGCTTATCGGTTGGAGTTGCCAGCAGAGTTGGGACAGATTCACAATACCTTTCACGTATCACAGTTGAGGAAGTGTATAGCCGATGAATCGGCAGTGGTTCCGTTAGAGGATATTCAGGTGGATGCGAGCCTGAATTACGCCGAGAGACCGGTAGCTATCAGGGATCGGAAGATCAAGGTTCTGCGGAACAAGGAAGTACCTCTGGTGTTGGTTCAGTGGCAACATCGGAAAGGATCGGAGATGACTTGGGAGCCGGAGCGTGAGATGCGGGAGCAACATCCGGAGTTATTCGCAGAGTGAGACTTCGAGGGCGAAGTCTAGTTCTAGTGGGGGAGAGTTGTAACAGCCCGGAATTTCAGGTATTGCTTTAAAACTATTTTTGGGGCATTTTTGGAAGGGACTCGGCGAGTTGGAGCCAGACTCGCCGAGTAGGACCACAGACTGGGTCGCGGGTTCGCGACTGGACTCGACGAGTCCATTATGGACTCGGCGAGTCTACGCTGTTCAGCAGAAACCCTAGCCGTTTGGTTTTGGATCGTATATAACGCCCCATATGCCGTCATTGTCCGTCTTTTAGCCGATTGAGAAGAACCCTAAGCGTCTGTGGACATCTAGAGCAAGATTAGAGGCTATTGGAACCTTGAAGAATTTGTTAGGCAA